GCTCCCTAAATGGAAATGAACCGTTGTATGGGGCCTATGAACAGGGAGCTTGGAGGGGGGGTTAATTCAAACATCGTTGATGACTCTTGGGTTTACACTGGTCCTCCTCCTCCTCCTCTCCTTCTGCTCGTCCTCCCCCTCATCCCCCCTCCTCCTCCTCCTCCTCCTCCTCCTCGGCCTCTTCCTCCTCCTCCTCCCCCTCCGCCTCCTCCTCCTCCTCCTCATGCTCCTGCTCCTCCTCCTCCTCCTCATCCTCCTCCTGCTCCCCCTCCTCCTCCTCCTCATCAAGTACTCAAAATGAATACTACTCTCCCTCTTCCCCTGATGAGGGTTTGAAAGTGCTCGACCCCCCCCCGCGTACTGTTTTTTACACACAGGTTTCCCCGGAAGTGGGTTTTCGCCTGCATTTGTTTTCAAAATGCTGCTCTCGCTGAAGCGACGGCCTCATTTTCGGGCCCCGCTCGTTCCGAATCGTGCTCCCGCTGCAACGCTGGCCTCATTTCCGTGTTTCCGCTCGTGCCGAATCGTGCTCCCGCTGCAGCGCTGGCCTCATTTCCGCGCTTCCGCTCGTTTCGACTCGTGCTCCAGCCGCTGCAGCGCTGGCGTCATTTCCCGTGCCATGCCACGGCATGCAATGCAATGCTAGGTTGATACTTCGCTTTGCGGTGCTCTTCTACGCCATGCCATGCCGTGCTCTACAATGCATCGCGTACCCTTTCGGGATCATTGCCCTGCTCGACATCCGACTGTGCGAGTAGAGAGGGGATCTACGCCATGGTAAGGGATGGGAGGGAGGGGTAGGATGTCAGATATGACGCGAGCGCACCTAGCTTGTCCCTCCTCCCCCTCGCCCTCCCCCTCCTCCTCCTCCTCCTCCTCCTCCTCCTCCTCCGCCTCCTCCTCGTCCTTCCCACACCCTCTTTTCACCTGTTCCCCCTCGGCGGTGAACGTCGGCGCGACGCCCCTCCCGCGCCTTCCTGCCTTACTCCTCCGGACCTCACGCTCGAGCGCTCCAGAGCGCTCCGAAAAGGCTACGGCACCCGATGCATCCTCCAGAATCGCCGGACCTAGGAGATCCCCGATTCATCCCGGTCCGACTTTATTCCGATCCTGCTATACCCAGCCCCGTCTCAGGGAGCACCATAGCTGGAAAGGGGATGGGCCTGCTCAGGATGGGGAACGTCGACCCGGAACTGGCGATAGGCCCCCGATTGTGAAGCCGCACGCTCTCGGGCGGGTTCGGCCATCGGGCCACCCCCACGAGCCCCTGACCCCTGCGCGATGTTCCCAGCGCCACGGCGATGAGAACGCGAGGCACGCAAAGGATCTCTGGAGCCCAAGAGCTCCCGACCCCGTCCCCAGGGGCAGTCGTGCGTCGTGGGCCCTGCTTTGATGGTCCTGGAGTTCTGGAGCCCGATGGGGGGCCCCGGGGGCCGAAATCGGAGGAAAACACATGCACACGAGAAAGCACATCGCCGGAGACCAGCGTGCGCGATGGCCCCCGCCCTCCGTAGCTCTTGGAAACGGCAGGGCAGTGTTTTACGGCTGCCAAGGATGATTTCGATAACGAGAACGATAGTTACAAACAACTGCTCGCCGAATCGGAATTCAGCGGCTTCGGGACTGAAACAGGAGCCAAACCTGAAAAAGCAGCTTCGCTGGAACCGAACAACACAACAATGAACGGCGCCACGACACCAGAGCCAATGACAACAAAACGGCCTTGTCATGTCCAAGAACCACTGCGCCACGCACCCCCAGGAGAGCCCTGAATCGAACTGATAAGTCGGCTCGGAGGTCGAAACGAATCGGATCGGTGGGAATCGGCCGCCGAGTCGGGCCAGGTCGAATCGGCGGAAATCGACATGCTGGTATGCCTCCAACAACACTTGGACCCCAAATCGGAAGCCCAAATCGACTCGCATCGGAATCGGAAACGCCATCGAAATCGAATCGAACCGAAGCGGAGGAGTCGCAAGGAGCCCTGCACCCCCTTGGCGGCGCGCACAAGGGGGTGGAGGGAGGGGGGAGGGCTTCTTAGAAGGGGGCTGCTTCTTAGAGGGCGCCGGCCTTACCTCTATAGGCAAGGCCCGCGCCTGCTGAGAAGCAGGGGTGCTTCTCAGAAGCCTTCCCCCCTCCCCCCACCCCCCTCTGCGCGTGGCTCAAACGACGGCGACTCAAAAGGGTGTAGTTTGCAAAGGGTGTGGTTTGCAACCGGCACCCTGGGGAACATCCTGGGGGTCACCCTGGGGGGCGCGCGGGGACCTCGATAGAGTTCTCCCGCGCCCCGAGGAGGCCCGACGTGGACAGTGTCGTGCCCCCCAGGCCCCAACGGTGCCGATCGCAAACCACACCCCGGCGTAACCACACCCTTTGCAGTCGCCGAAAGGAGCCCTGCACCCCGCCATGACGATGGAGAAGGCGAGGCACGCGAAGGAGGTCCGCAGCGTGCACACCCAGTCCATGGCCCGCGCCAGGCGGTGCCCGCTGGCGGCCAGTC